AACTCATCCCTCTTCACTGTGAACTGTTCATTTTGTGAAGGGCCTTTTTGTAACCCAAACCACTATATTTGCCTTAATCTAACCAAGCAAAAAACCAGTGACTCAACACGTAGAATTCAAATCAAGTAACAAAAGCTCCAAACAGGAAGTAAACCATGGTCTCCTGGCTAACAGTTATCCCTCCAGTCTTCTGATGTGGACTTTCTAGGTCTCTAAAATTGATTTGTTATTTTTTTGGCATCTATCATTGCCACAGCTGGTCCGTCCAGGAACCGATTCCCACAATGCGCCTTGTGTGTAATTGTGAAATGCAGGGAGAAGGTGACAGAATAGCATTACATGACATAGACATCCAATAACGAATTTCTATAATTTATATCAAACATTACAAACTGAAAGTCTTGCTGGCAAAAGGCCCATTTTCTTTCTTTCTTTTAGACAAAGCCAGCTTCTGATTGAAACCTGACATTTTGGGGATAAACCACAGAGGACAGTAAAGAAGCACTGTCATCAAACGCAAAAAGCGATTCTTCTTCTTCATAAAGCATTTTCAGCAGTGACAAAAATGCACAGAGAAAGAGGCGTTTATTTCTTTTCTCTCCTTTGCGGCATCGTTATGACTCTTGCAGCTGCAGTATAGTCAACACTCGACAGATTTTCCATTCCCTGTGTGATCTGAAATGAGAAACTGAGTTGAGAGATTGGCCCTTTGAAACGTTTGTTGCAGAGAACATGCTCGTGTAGCTGAATAGACCTGGAAAAACAGGTTACTTCACTTCATGGAAACTAGATCTTACAGACAGACTTGTCCCAGAGTTTATGTGCATTTGCTGGTAAATGAAAAACTCGATACATGGCTGAGCAGTTTTCCAGGGAAGATGTGCATCGGGAAAAGCAAAGACAAGATGCCTTATCTGTCCATTGATGCTTGACCACTAAAAAAGGACAATGTGACTAACATGAAAAGCATGAAATTGTGCCTTTTTCTGACATATACAGACATGCACACACACCAAAAACATATATTTTTGTGCGTTGGCTGTACATTATGATAAACCTACCAGGCATATGATATTAATATGTGCAGCGTAGTGTTTGCATCACAGTGATGCTACATCAAAACTGGCCTGAGCTCCGCCAGAATCACTACAGCTCATTAAGTGTGATTAAAATCTAACATCTCACTGTCTGTAATTTTAAAGGATCGGCATTTGAATTTAGGCAGATCAATTAGCAGAAACAGGATACAGGATTCATAATTATGTTTTCATTTGTATAGGGTCACCTGTGATTATGAATAGCTGGTTTCTGTCAGACTGGAATGAGCCCTGCATGTCTACAAAGTGAGCAGATCATCTTTCAGTCTGCAGTGCTGCTCCACCATGTTTCTGACTCTGAGGGTGCTCAACCTCTAACTTTGTACTTAATTTTGTCACCTTGTGACAAATTTCCATCTCCCTGTGTGTATTTTTTTGACCTATTTTCAGACATTTTGTGTTTATTTTCCATCTCTCTCGTAGTTTTGTATCACTTTGTAGTCATTTTAAATCTCTTAGATGTTAGCAGTCTCTTTTAAAACATTGTATTTGTGGCTATTGTGAGTCTATTTTTTATTTGCGTTCCATCTGTTTTTACTTCTTTGTGTTTGCTTTACCTCTGTTTATATATATTTTTGCTTTCAGTATGTTTTACTGGTTTATCTGAATGTTTTTGATAGCTTAACAGTCATTGCATCACCCTTAACCACATGGACTGTTTCTCTGTATGCAGTCAAAGCCTGCTTAAATGGGATTGGTTAATTGTGCATAATCATATTCAGATATCTGTTAGTAGAGATTTCATCTTATCACTAAAGGTGCAATAATTTCTCTCACACACTGATTCATCTCTGCTTCCACAAGGACAGAAACCGCCAAGCTTTCATACCTCATGCAGTAAATCTTCACAGTGCAAAATCTGTGTCTTCCAGAGAAAATCTGTCCTCTTATGGCAACAGCGCCTTTCTGAACCCTCACAGCACATTTGTATTTCACTGAACTGTGAGTGTTCTACTTATTATTAAGCTGTTTTGTTATGTTCTTACCTTAGTTTTTAGTTGCTGTCACAAAGAAAGTATCAGCTTTTGAAGTGAATAATGTTGTGCTCTTGTTTTACTTATTTTGGGGTGAGGTTTTCTTTTTGTAGTTTTCGTATTTTTTTGTTGATCTTCTGTCAGTTTTTGTAGATTTTTTGGGTGATTTTTCAGTACTTGTAGCTGATTTGTGTGTCTGTTTGGTTGACTTTTGTTTCTGATTTAAAAAAAACAACTTTACATTGGAATGAAAAAAGGACAAACATAAGGACGAGATGTGATGACAAAACAGTAACAAGAAAAATGTATAAACATTGAAGTGTGTGTGTGTGTTTTGAATATTTTTGTGTTGAATGTGTGAGAAAATGCTGTGAAACTGTGAAATTCTGTCCAAAACCAACTGTCACAGCGAGCGGAGTGAGCCGTGTGGAGATGATAAATGGTAAAGCGCATTTGTATGGCGCTTTACTCAGTCCCTAATGACCCCAAAGCACTTCACACTACATTCAGTCATTCACACACACATTCACACACTGGCAACGGCAAGCTACATTGTAGCCACAGCTGCCCTGGGGCGCACTGACAGAGGCGAGGCTGCCGGACACTGGCGCCACCGGGCTCTCTGACCACCACCAGTAGGCAAACATGGGTATCTTGCCCAAGGATATTTGGGGATTGAACCACCGACCTTCTGATTAGTGGCGGACCTGCTCTGCCACCTGAGCTACAGCCACCCATGATAAAGGAGGATCCAATTGCAGGCACTTGTAAAGTTGTGAAAGTGGTTTATTGAATACACAGCACAGGGAAAAAAATGGCAAACTAAACTATAGTAAACTACAGAGCACGAACGAGAACGAGAACAAGCAGAGGAGAATGAAGCTGGACAGCAGGGAGAACACACAGGTGCGACATGGTGGATACACAGACAGACCAGCAACTACAATAACAGAAGACACGACTTAAATACACACAAAGAAACACAGGGAGATTACACACAGGTGGTGGACACAGCTGGGAGCAATTAACGAGACGAGACAAGAGGTAAAACTGAACACATTCACAAGAGACGCAGACCTTCACAATAAAACAGGAAACAAGACCTCACTACACAAAGACGCAGACTTGACACTGAGAGAAAGACTGAATATAACACATGGAACCTAAATGCTAAACATGAGACACAAATCCTGAAACACATATAAACAGAAACATGGAACTCTAATAATAATAATAATCTATCATCATCATAATCATCACCACCACCACCAGTATACAGGAATAATCCATTATTCAAAGCCAAAACATAACAACTCCAAAATGCTGGGTCGAACCGCAACTGTACATCATGATGGGTTTAAATCAACCAACCAAGGTAAAAGTGATGTGCAGACTTTCAGCTTTAGATCAAAAGGTTGACTGACCAGCAGTTTTGTGGCCAGGTGAGACCTGTGAGGGAGGCCATTATTAGAAGTAACCTATCACAGAGACAGCAAAAATCTTCAGGAGTGGCCAAATCAACAATCTGGTACATTTAGAAAAGAGCCTTAAAGACCACAGAAGACAATTTAAATTGATGGTGACAGAATTATTTCCATGGTTAAGAAAAACAGCATGACAGCATCCAATCAAGTCAAGAACACTTGAGGGAGTCGGGGTGTCATTGTCAAAGTCTTCAATCAAGAAAAACCTTTAATGGAAATAACAGAGATCAGGGTGAAAACCACTACTTACACTCAAGTCCAGAAGGGTCGGGTTAGACTTTACTAGAAAACATCTAATCCAAGATTTGATTAGACTGTACCAGGCATAAAGAGAACTAATGTGGGAAGCAGCTCATGATCTGCATGAACTGTTAATCATGGTGGAGGCAATGTTACGATATGGCCATGTACGGCTGCCAGATGAACTACACCACTAACGTTTACTGACTGCTGATAAAAGAAATGCAATAAACTCTGACATGTACTCTCTGCTTGGATTCATCCAAATTCTGCAAAACATCATAGTGTAAATGGATAATGACCCAAAGCACACCGCAAAAGCAATCCTGGAGTTTCGTAAGGCAAAGAATTTGGATATTCCTCAGCAGCCAAGTCAGTCACCTGATCTGAACCCAGCAGAGCAGCTCTTCACTTCATAAATGCAAATCTAAACACAGAAACATCCACAAACAAGCAGCAACTGAAGGTGGCTGTAGTAAAGGCCTGACAGAGCATTTCAAGTCCATGGATTCCACACTTCAGGCAATTAGTGACCGCAAAGGATTTCCATACAAGTATTAAGGACACTCCTCATTATAAAAGTAAAATTATATAAGTTTGTCTAATTAATTTTAAGAACCTGTATAAACATTGCTGCAATTCCTGAAGAGTTAATATTGTGGTTTTATGAAGCCCCTTGAACTAAAGTGGAAAGTCTGCACTTCATTTACATATGGGTTGTTGGAGTTAAAAGCTTTTATGCTGTACAAAAGTAAACGACAAATGTCTTTGTCCAACCAATTCTGAACCCAACTGAAGGCTATTTATCATTTTGTTAGATTCTGATGTTCATTCCTCTGGATTTTTGTAATTTTAATCCTTTTACTCTTTTTGATTTTGATTTCTTAAATCCGCTTTTCTGTTTTCCATCATTCTGTATAGTTTTGTGTTGTACTTGTCATTTCTTATGGCTTTTTCCTGCCTTCTTTTATGTTCTTTGTGATATTTTGGGGGATGATAAGACATATCTCCCGTTATGTCATCTTTTCTGTAAGGTCCTCAATTTTCAGAGTGCAGGCTGACTGTTATTTAGAGTAGAGGGAGGTACTTATATGCCCGACTGGCAGCTTTCTAGCTAAAGTGTTTAATTTAAAGTATCATAGACAACACCTGCTCTTTTTAATGGTTCTTCAGGCTTTGAAATGATACCTGCGCTACTACAGTCACATTCACAGAGTGTGCACACACGGGAACGACACACACACGCACACACCAAAGGATTTTAACACCTCCTATTTGACTGTGTGCGGCAGCAGAGCTGTTACCTAGTTACAAGCTAGACACCGTGCGACCTGCGCTGTTCATAATGTTGCGGTGGGGACTCTGAGTGCATCAGTCTGTCCGGAGCAGACGGAGGGAGAAGTGAGACGGAGGCGGACGGAGGAGCGCAGCGGGCTGCTTCTCTGCTGGAGATGCCACTGGAACTCATCCCGACGGAGGCAAAGTGCAGCGGCTCTTCTCGCGTTGTTTCACCGATAAATCCAGCAAAGCCCCGGTAAAAGTCTGGTCCTGAAGGTGCGGAGAAGTCTCAGCTTTAAGGTAAGTTTGGGTATCTGTTGTAAACCTGACCGGTTCATACTAATGGATGTTTGCTGTGAATGAGTGCGGACAGCTGATGATGATCTGTTAGCTCACCTGTACATTCAGATGATTTATGGTTAACGAGAGTTTTCCTTTAAATGCTTTTAAATAACCCTTACAGACATGTTTAGGAAGTTCTGAATGAATTAAAATTAAAGGCACAAATTCTTCACACAACAAACTGCACGCTTTTTAATATTTAGACCATTTTTTCACTGCAATAAATGCCAAATCAGCAACTTTAAAGATTCTACTACAGTCGGAAACCTTTCAGCTACAGCAGCCATGGGCAGATTGTGAGACAAAAGCACCCCCTCCGTACACACATGTAAAAGGTACCCACCCCACTGAGAAGGCTGACCCCCCCTCCCCAGACTGAATGAGTCACGGAATGATTGTGAAGGCTGTGGCCATTTTCTTCTTCCTCTGCTGGTTTTAGTTTTCTTCGGATTGTGTGTCTCTTTTAGAAATGTTTGCATCTCTTTAATTGTATTTTTGAGCTGTTTGTGAGTTATTTTTGCTTCTTTGATGATTCTATAATGATTTTTTTGTGGTATTTCTAGTCACATGCTGTGGTCAGTTTTTGTTTGTGTGGTTCTTATTTTGTTTTTAGTGTTTTTGTGAATCTTTTTTAAAATTAATTTTGGTGATGCTTTTAGTAGTTTTATTTGTTTTTGTGGCCAGTTTCTTTGATCCTGCAGTTGTTAATTCTTTTAGTCTCTTTCTGTGCTCTCTCTGATAGTTTTATTTTTTTCTATAGTTTAGGTCATTAGTTTTTCCCCCCTGTGGTTTATTTTGTATTTTTAGCTATTCTGAGTTTTTGTGTGTAGTCTTTTTGTGCATCTTTGTGTCTTTTGTGCACTCGAAGGACTTTATGCAGTAAAGCTTCATTTAAACCTAATTTAAGCTTAGCCTACGCAGCTGGCTCTCACCACTGCCAACAGCATCCAGTGAAAAAGTCCTTTTTAAAAAAATGGTTTGATCAGGATGTATTTCAATATTGCAGGGGAGATGGAAGAACTACTTGTGAGCGATGTATTACTTCACAAATACCTTGCATATTTAAGCTTATTTGGTATCATGAAAAGAAAAAAAAGATTAAAATCTCTGTATCTTACAGCGATTCTTGTTTAAAAAGGGATTCTGTGCTTTTCTGAGGTAGTTCACATTCAGTGCAAACTGCTCCTCACTGTCAAATATAAGTGAGAGGCATCTATATTTGACAATGAAATGAGGCAGAAACATAATGAGTTACTTCTTTTAGGCACTAGTAGCATATTTAGTCCAAAATTCCCAATATTTTACATTTTCTGTTATGGTCTTATACTAAAGGTCATTTTCTACATCTAGTTTATCTCATTGAGAGTCCAGTCGTCACCTGTTGGGAGCATTTGGCTGCAGCCATTTCCATGCAATGGTTTTCTCTCCTGCAGGCAAATGATTTTAATGAGCTACTCATTCTGTTTCCTGGGTTTATCCATGATTTTGCACAGGTACTGTGTAACAAAAGGGCAGTCGGCTTCTGAATCCTTCAGGCAGCTTTAGTGACTTCTTTCAAAGGCACTTTGTTAGGAAACGCAGATGAGATTCTCATAACAGCCGCATCTCTTTGCTTGCTCTGTACTCTCATTTACATACATATATTTTAGTCCTGCAGCTTGTGTGTATTTCTGATTAACCGGCCAGTTATTTATGCTTTTGTTCAGCTAAAAAATAGATTAAAAATACATTACAATATGCATTTCTATAGTTTAAGGGCAAACACAGATGTTTTTACTATAATGGAAGAACAAGGAAAACGAAAGCTAATATTGCATTTAAGAACTTTTTAGCATTTTTGGATAAAAAAAAATCAATAAAGAAAAGATTGTAGCTACTTATCTACCCATCTAGTTATACTCACCATCATCTATGTTCCTGTGTGGTTACTGCTTTTAGGAGAACTCTACATAACACAATAACCAAACTGTAAATACAGTACATACTCTAAATAACTAAATATAGATGTTAGGTGAGGCTGTGTGCAGGCAGGAATAGGACCCAAGGTGCAGACTCCGGAGACAGAACTTAAACCAAAACAGCTTTAATGCTGAACTCAAACATAACATAACTGGAAAAACTCAAGAAAATAAACTAACACCGGCGGATTGACAAGACACACAGCAAAATAAACGGTAGATCACGACACAAACACAGAGAAACACTGGGCTTAAATACACAGAGGGAGCAATCAGGGAATGGGTAACAGGAGGGAAACACAGCTGGGGCAAATCAGGCCTAACGAGACAAGAGGAAGCAAAACCAGACACCTTAACATCAGACATGGACTTTCAAAGTAAAACAGGAAACACATAACACAGACTGAACAAAGACACAGACTCATATGCAGGCACTATAAAGGGAACAGAGACGTGGGAACAGGGCAGCCACAAACACTGACTGAACACGGGGATATAGGAACTTAGGATACACATAGACGCGAACTAGACAAGGGGATGCAGGTGATAGGGGAGACAGAGCAACTAAAGAAGACAGAGACCTAAGCCATAAGACAGAACTTAAAGAAACCAAAAAGTAGACAGTATAAATAATATCGTAAACTCAAAAACCCTGGGTCGACGACCCAGGCATCCTAACAATAGACCTTAGACCTTGATGTAAACAAGCAAAAAATATACAATTTCTCCTTTTTTAAAATCTTTACAATCCAGTCATTTTACTGTGTTTCACTCATTTTAGTAAATACAATTAACTGCTATTAAAAATTATTATAAACAAGCTTAACAAAAACACCCTGTTTCATTTTGTTTCAGCCACATTTTGGGATTTTAGACCTAAATATGGAGCTCTCATTTATGATACTGGTATCTTTGGTGAGATCATTATCAGAGCGGTATCTCAGTGAAGTGAAGTTTGAGTGTTTGACAAGACGTTTGGGAGAAAACACTTTCCTTTTTCTCCTGTAAAAAAAAAAAGGAAAAAGAAGTTCCCTACTGTGTTTATGACAGTCTGAGTGTGATTACCAGCCAACTTGATTTCCACCATTTATTGTGAAAGAGTAGAAAACGCATCACGTCTCCATCATGTGAAACCACTCAAGATGTAAAATGCTCGATCTTTTCCTAGTATTTGATTTTTTTCTTTTGCTTTGCATTTCAAATCTAAAGGAGTCAAACACTCATTTTATTGAAAATGTGATCCTTGAAGTTAATTGAGATGCATTTGCAAAATAATAGCAAACTGATGCCATCATCTGCCCACAAATGAGTCAAACACACACACACAGAGTCACCACAGGTGGGTAGCTAACAAGCACAATCCACAGCCTCATTTCAGGCAGAATTGCCTTTTAAGAGGAGAGTAAATTATCTCTGGTAACATTATGATATCTCACTACATTTAAACAGATTGTGGTGGGTTTTCTTTCCCCTTTCTTGTAGAGATGTACAGATAAAATATTTAACATTGCTGGTTTACTCCAGTCATGAAAAAAGGTTGTCATGGTTATGCACCTTTTAAATAAAAGTTCAGTCATGAAGAAATATAGTATATTTTTAATGAAATGAACATATTTTAAAATAAACTCTTTACATAAGAAATTATAGTTGGACTGACTCTTCCAGGCCCCCTTCCACCTGCTCCCCACTCTCACTACAGGTCAACATGGCATCTGTCAGTCACTCTCCCCAGAGACTTCTGTCTGACCTCATCTGTCAACCTGTCCATCGCAACAAGAAGGGGCTCAGAGCTGATACTTGATGTTATCCCCCCCACCTTGAACTCATCTGTCACTCCTACCACCTACCTCACCGTTGTCTCTATGCATACATGTCCTTCACCACCCTCACATACTTCTCTGCCACTCCAGACTTCCTCATGCAGCACCACAGTTCCTCATTTGACACCTTATCATATACTTTCTCTGGATCCTCAAAAACACAATGAAGCTCCTTCCGAAATTCTCATAAGGAGAACCTCTCTCCTTCAACAACTCTTTCCCATATCCTCATGGTATAGCTCATCAGCTTTATTCCTCTGTAGTTACTACAGCTCTGCACTTCAACCCTGTTCTTAAACATCAGTACCATTACACTGATTGTTGTGGACTTTTTGATTTCAGTGGTTAAAAAGTCCACTGTCTTCTCTCCTAGACATCTCCATACGTTCACAGCTATGTCATCTGGACAATCCACCTTTCATTGGATGTATGTTCATCCACTCCAGCCCTCACGTCCTCCTTACTTATTGTTTGCAATTCCTGGTTCACTATCTTCATTCATCCTCCTCTGACTCTTATTCTCTACAATCAGCTCCTCAAAGTTCTCCACCTTGTCAGCACACTTTCTTCAGTTGGTAGTACATTTCCATCTCAATCCTTGATCATCCTAACCTACTGCACATCCTTTCCGGTTCGATGTGTCTGCCTAATGAATTGATTCAAGTCCTTTTCTCCTAGTGTCCAGCTTAAATACAGTTTGGTTCATAAATATTTGGACAGAGGCCATTTTTTTCTAATTTTGGTTCTTTACATTACCAAAATTAGTTTTAAATGAAAATTCTGGGTTTCTTCCTTTTTAATCCTCTGCCAGGCCTTTACTTCAGCGGCTTTCATTTGCTGTTTGTTTGTGGGCTTTTCTGTCTGAAGTTTTAGTCTTCAACAAGTGAAATGCATCCTCAATTGGGATCAGGTTTGAGTTGGCCACTTCTTTGCTTTAATAAACTATTGGGTTGCTTTAGCTGTATGTTTTGGGTCATTGTTCATCTGTAGTATGAAACATGCCCAATCAGTTTGACTGCATCTAGCTGGATTTGAGCAGACATTGAATCTTTGAACAGTTCTGAAGTTATCCGGTTGCTTCTGTCCTGTGTCTCATCATCAATAAACACTAGTGTCTCTGTACCACTGGCAGCAATGTACTTCCAAGCCATCACACTGCTCCGCCATGTTTCACTGATGA